ACAAAACATCAATACAATCAAATTTCTTCATCAATAAGTTCTGAATAACTACATAAAGCATGAAAAAATAAACCTCAATTCCTACCTTATATCCTACACAAGTATCTTGATATGGACCACAGATTATGTAAAAGCTTAAAGCTTCCCCCAGTTCTGATGCCAGAACTTCATCATTTTCTGTAGGAAACTTCCACATTTTTTCACACCCTCACTGAGGTATGTACAATTGACATAACTATGTAAACTGATAAATTTATACACACACACACATATCTGAAACTATTAAGACAATCAAGACAAGAAAGCATAACCCCTCTCTCTACACCAGGCCCAAATAACCTCAACTATTGATTTGCTTTTTGTCACTGTAGATTAGATGGATTTTCTAAAATTTTAATAAATAGAATTTTTCTGTATATGCTCTTTTTCTGATCTGGCTTCTTTCATTCAGCTTAATTTTGTGATTCAGTCATATTGTCATATGCATCAATACTTCATTTCTTTTTACTACTAAACAGTAGTAAAAGTATTTCATCACACTATCACAATTTTGTTCATTCATTCATTTGTCAAAGGACATTTGGGCTGTTTCTAAATTTTGCTAACAGAGCTGTCATGACTTTATCTATTCTTACAGCTTTATTACACACCTAGAAATCCCAGATCTGCTTAGCCAGATTCCAACAAACAAATGCCAGTTCAACAAGTCCATCTAGATAAACTTTTAAATCAACATGTCCATTATCCATTTTATATGTTTCTCCCTCTACCCCAACCGCTTCTCTTATATTCTCCATCCTGATTAACGATACTGGAATAAAAATTGAAGCTCTTCCAGTTCTTACCACTTTCTTCACTCAATACATACCTAGGTCTTATCATTTTTGTCTTTTTAAACATCTCTCAGAATTAATTCTCACAATTTCCATCCCAGTACAAATGCATCTTTAATTCAAATGCACATCATCTCCCAGCTGAACTACTAAATCAGCCTTCTAAGTTTGCCCCTTCCCTACTAGGATCTCATTCCTTTGCATTCTACTTTGAATTTTCTAAAATTAAATCCTGATGTTACCACCTATTTAAAATTCCTCAATGACTTCTATCACCTCAAGATAAAACTGAAACACCTTAGTTTAACATACAAAAAGTTCTATATTAAAGCTGTTACTTCACCATACTCATCCTGACACTTCCTATCATGTTCTAACTTTTTTTTTTTTAAGATTTATTTTTTTATTCATACAGAACTGGGGTACAGGCAGAGATGCGGAGGGTGAGAGGGGCCACCAGAAAAAGAGTGGGGAGCAGAACAGGCAGATCAATGAAGTACACTGCTGAGGGGAGCAGCGGGTGGGTCAGGAGAGGTCTGCCACGCCATGTGGATCACCTCCTGGGCAGGCGGGAATCGAACTCATACAGAAGTGGTGTAAGCTTCTTAGTGCTGTGCTTTAACCCGCTGCGCCACCAGGGAGGGCCTTTTATTTTTGTATGATATCATTTGCTTTTTTTCAATATCGATGTCAAGGGCAATGGTCTTTAGTCAGTATGATGTTTGCACAATAAATGAGATAAAACTTAGGCTGATAAATGCATGAGACAACCTGAGCACATACAGAAAAATAGCAGTTCAGTCAAACTGAAGCATAAAAAATATGAAAATTATGGTAGGCAATCCAGTCAGAAAGAGAGGGTGATGCCTGATCAGTGACCTCCATAATTCATGCTCAACACTGTTCACTTCATCCTATGTCCTCAAAAGAGATCAACAGTTCTGAACAAGAAAAGTATGACAAATTGAGAGGTACACTATTAACTTCTGAAATTTGAAAGATAAAGGAAAGGGGAGGGACAGTGAAACTAAATTAGGTTATCACAGGAGCCTGGGAAAAAGTACTGCAAGTTGAAGTAGACAGGGATAGATTAAAAGAACATGCCAGAGGGTAATGAAACTACAGACTGCCTGCGTATGGGCAGAAGAGAAATCAGAGATGACTCCAAAGCTTTGAACCACTCAAGTAAAATAAAAAAACCATTAGTCAAGAGGAATGTTTTTCAATGGTAGGTAGAGAGGAAGGAGATGATTTTTTTTTTTAACAAAAAGATTTATTTATGCATTCAAGAGCTGGGATGTAGGCCAGAGGTGCAGATAGGTAGGAGGATTCACCAAAGACAGAGTGGAGAGCAGAACAGGAAGATCGATTGAAATACACTGCTGAGGGGAGCAGCGAGCTGGTCAATGTGGGTCACCTCCCTGGCCTGGATTGAACTTGTGTTGCAGTGGCTACTGATAGCTTCATAAGTGTTGAGACTTAACTCCTCATGCTACCAGGGAGGCCCCAGGAGATGATGGTTTAAATTTGGGTATTCCCTCGCCCACTCATTCAAGATGTAAATGTCTACTAGATGTCAGGCATATCAGAAAAAATGAGGGTAAAATATTCTCCTATTTTCAAGAATCATCCAGTCTAATGGAGAGGTGGGGGTGAGGGGCTGACATCCAAATAAATGATATCTTCACTGTAAAGTGCTCAGGTAAGGTGCTAGAAGAAAATAAAGATTATCCAACTCAACCCTGAGGCTTTGAGAAAATAGCTGAGGTCAAGAAGGATGACTGGTTTGTAAAGCCAGACAAAGGACAATCGAGATGAAGAGAAAAGCTAGTACAAAGGGCATCAGGAGGGGCCTCCCTGGTGGCGTAAAGGTTGAAGCACAGCACTATGAAGCTCTCCCCAGCCACTGCAGCAGGAGTTCCACCTCCAGCCAGGGAGCTGACCCACATGGTGCAGCAAACCTCTCCTGTCTCACCCACTGTTCCCCTCAGCAGTGTATTTCAGTAGATCTGCCTGTGCTGCTCCCCACTCTGTCTCTGGTGAATCCTCTCATACACAAACCCTCCCACATCTCTGGCCTGTACCCCAGCCTTTGAATGTATAAATACGTAAATATAAAAAAAAACCACACCTGCATTTGGACACGTCTGCAAATAATGCAATAACTCTAAAGGAAGAGTTCAAGATAAAGAGATAGAAACACAAAATGTCTAGCAGGCACGTGAAAATGCAGGACTTGAAATATATTTTCAATTTGCTTAGGTGTCTCGGAATCATTAGTGCACACTTTAAATAAGAATTGCAAGACCTTTACATGTAGACCGGATTGTATATACTTCCACCTCTTTCCATCACTTTCCACAGTCACGTAAGGGTATCTCTGCTTAAAGTCAAAGCTGGTTTAAGTAAATAAGCAAAGAGAACTGGTGGAGACTGGTAAATTAGAGATACATACCATGCCTAAAGAAGGCAGCCATTTACTCAGCTCTAACAATTCACTCAACCCTAATATTGAGGGATCTTCCTATCCCTTAACCTAAAAATGCACGTTTATAAATAAATAACAGCTCCAAGTTTTAAAAATACTGGCTATTAGTTACATTAAAAATGAAACAACACTGTTCTAGCCCAACAATAAGCTTCTGTGGACAGATTTCAACAAAGGGTACCAGTGCAGCAGTTAGATCTAGTTTGCCAACTCTACCAAGTTTTTCCCCCTACTCAATTGATGTGTTATCCCCTGTGTTGAGTTGCTTGCTTTTAAGTAGAACAACCCAAAAGTAATACTTGTCTTACAAGGTCATTTGTGTGTTTTCAACATTTTTTTTCTGTTGCCTTTCCATCCTAGTTAAGTCAGGATACCTGCTTCTAGCATAACTGAGATCTCCTACTCCCCCTTTTTATTAAAAACTGTCAAATTTGCAGGTAAAGTAAAAGTATAAAGAGTGAGAGGTAGGATTTCTAATGAATGAAGTATATTAGGTATAGGGGATCTCTTCAATTTTCTTAGAAAACCACGAAGATGTTTGTCAGACACTTGAGGGGGAAAGTAAGTTATATCTGAAATAAATGAGTAAATTCTCCTAACCAAATAGTTTCTACTGTAAGACATTAAGAGAGGGAGGGGAAGAAGAGCAAAAGGGAAAGTAAAAGCTTCAGGCTTTTGAGAAATATCAGGCACCTTTATAACACCGTCTTCTGAAGTATGAACGTTTAGAACAAAAGGTACACCATGATCTTCACTCTCAAGAGCAGTAAAAATATATTTTAACCAGAGAACGTGAAATTCCTTGAGCACCAAGAAATTGGAATTTAGGACTACTGTTAAGGAAAACAATCACTATATTCAAAGAAAAGGTAAAAGGGAAACAATACTCAGGTTGCTGTTGTATGCGTTCAAACACCAGTTTCTAATTCTTTCGTTACGCGTTACGTCACAATGTTGCTTTGGAATTACAAAGTAGCAACACCTCCTAATTACACCAAAACACGTAAAAGTAGAGCTTATGGAGTATGTAACAATGTGGCAAAACTGAAGACCCACAGAACAGCTAAAAATTCGAAATCAATAAGCCGAATGACAGCACCAAGGTTCTCAGAATGTCCAAAAAATTGAAAAACACCCAGTGGTAGGCGCAGCCACCTCAATTCGTCGGAGGAGGGGGGGAATTCACGGGAATAAAGAGCGATCACTGAGGGCGAGACCGCAGGCCGGGCTCCGCTGGCGAGCGAGCGAGCTCTGCAAGCACTCAGGGCCAGCGTTGAGGCCAGCGCGTTCTCCAGCCCACTAAACGAGCGTTCCGGGCGCCGAAAACCCGAAGCTGGCGGCGCTCGCGGGGGAGCCCGAAGGCGGAAAGTGGCCTGCTCTGACCTCCACCTAGAAGTGGGGCTGCTCCAATCCCAGTCTCGGAAGCAGGGGCAGGAATGAACCCCTCCGCGGCTGCATCCTTCGGGCAAACTTGCCCGTCTCCACCCGCCTTCCCACCCCGAGTGAATGTCAACACCGAGAGCCGGCGCTGTGGGGAGCCTCTCCGAGCGAGCCGTCTCTCCCGAGAGGCGGCGAGACCGGGAAGAAAGACCGCCCGGCGCGCGCCCCGCCTCCCCGGCCCGGCGCGGCGCCCTCGCGGGGGTTACCGCCGGAAAGCGGGGGTCCCACACACTCCTCACCTTTTTTAAGGCAGGCACCAGCAGCCCCCGCCACTTGGGCGCGTTCTCCTCGCTGAAAAACTCGTACGGCAGCTGCTGCGCCTGCATGGTGCCCCCGGGGAGCCTC